AGCTAGATGTAAACGAAAGAGAGGAATTGCATGGAGGCATACTGAAGCCATTTTCGACGAGATAGTTGAAGGTGTGGCCATCGCAGTTATAGGTGAATTTGTTATTGGTAGAAGGAAGTTTCTGGAGGCATTGAGCGGCGATGGTGGTGAAATTGCCGCTGAACTGGGTGTAGTCCGCTAGGATCACCGTCCCTCTAGCCACGAAGCTATAGATCAGCGTCTGTTGCCCCACCATCTCCTCGTCGTCTTTCTTCACCCAACAAGAAAATTCTGAACAGGGAGGAAGAAAGAAAACAAAAAACCGAGTAAAAGTTCCTGACCCGGGGAAATGGCTCACCAATTGAAGGAAAAGAACAAGGGTGGAAAAAATTAAATTATGGAAAACGAATTGCTGGTTGTTGTGCTCTCAACAAAACAGAGGTTCATAAAGATTCGTTATTTCCGTTACTTCTTAAATGAATTAGTGTTTATATTTAGCGAGCTCGAGGGAGGGAGAGACAGAGAAAGGGAGAGAAATAGGAGATCAATGGGAGTTGTGGAGGTGAGATAGATGATTGGATGATCAATAAGATAAAAATGGCTACTGCATGCATGCAGTTTATTTGGAACCTTATCAATAACACACATTTAGAAATTGTGTATATACGCGAGCAGGTGTATCCAGTATCTTGTTTAAGGTGGATCTATTTAAGAAAATATATATGATAAAATACATCAGTAGTCGAAACTATTAATACTATCACTCTCTATATACCAAACATTTATTGATTAATTGTTAGTCGTTCTCTTTCAAATAGTGTTCTTTGTCCTTGATATTAATAACTCGAGTTGTGGAGAAAAGTTTAATAATGAATCTTATACCAAACACCTATTCATGATTCAGTCAGACATTTACTTTCGAATGGTGTTCTTGGTCAAAAACTGTTTAGTATCAATAACTCAAGTTGTTGAGAGAGGTTAAATAATTATCTTATACATCTACTACACCCCTCTCATATGAGTCAACTTATATGAAATTGAAGTTTGCACAAATCTAAATACTATGTGATTAACAAATGAGGTCGTCAAGATTCAAATACAAGACCTCTCAATCAACTATATATTCTCCATTAGACACATCATAATTTTCAATATCAATTAACTATTGTACATAAGTAAACCATTTTACTCTCGAGTTAGGGTGGGTCTCGAAACCTACCCAGTTACACTCTCCCTTCGCTCATGTACGTGAGTACAATGAATGCGACACAAATGAGGTTTGCATGTTGTCGAATTGGAGGTTCGAGGACGATAAAATTAGGGGTTTAGGATAGTGTGTATAACCAAATTTGATATTGAGTGGGGCTAAATTTAAGAGGCGGCATTAAAACACTTTTCCTTATTTTTTTATTCGGTTTGTATTTTTTTAATTTAATTTGAATTTAAAAAATTATGCACATATTGAACAAGTTCGTTATGATCTATAAAATTACTAGATATTTACCGCGTCTTTGCTGCGGGCTTAGCTGATTAGGAAAAATGTGGGTCGGAGGATCTTGATTGTTTAATGGTATTAAGTAAAAGTGTCAATTTTTTAATCAAATTCATCAATTCAATTCTTCTAATTAAATATACAACTAATCCAATTCATTTAAATCCAAATCCCATTGGAGCGATGGATTCACTTATTGGATTTATGGATTGGATTGTTGCCAACCTATAGTTTAATACATGTAGTTTTATACTTTACAATATGATATCTTAAATTATTTTTAAGTAAAATATCATTGGAAAAATACTTTTTGGCATCTACAATTTTTTATTATACCATTTTAGTACTTAAAATTTTCAAAATTACATATTGGTTCAATGTTTAGTTTACATGTCACTTGGGTCAGTGATCCAATCCACCAATCCATGAATCCACCATCCATCTAATCCATGGATACACCAATCCAATCAACCAATCCATGAATCCAATTCATATTGCCATCTCTAGTACCAAGTGAAAAAGGATAATAATATGAATATATGATATTCCTTCTACATTGCTTCCTCGTCCTTTTTTCGCTCACTCTTATTTTCTCATCTGGTTTTGCACACACAACTAGTGAGAAGCATGCTAGAAAAATGCATGAAACTGCGACTAATAATTGTTTTTTTTTTGTCTAAGGGAGGATAGGAGCACTGTGGAAGACTCTAGCAATGGCATCACAAGGCTTATGTGTTTTGTCTCTCTAGTTTGGAATTTGCACATGTATGGATACCATGTGTTCAATGAATGTGGGTTGTCAAAATTCGAATACAAAGCCCCTCGATCATCAAAGGCTTTTACATAATGTCAAGAACCAGTTGATCTTAATAATTCGAGTTATTTGAAAAGTTCCAATTATTCTTCTTATATCATTTACTTACATTTAAGTGCATCACAATGCATTATTGTTTTTTAATAACATTAATTGATTGTTCCCATTACTTAGTAGGTTACAATAATAGGTGACAATAAGGTAGATTAGCAAAACTCTAGATAACAGTAACTTTACTTCTTATTTATATATATTAATATCAATTTTCAACATGTTCAGATAAATATTGTTGGTACCACACATTGCTACCCAACTACCCAAGTACCACTTCACGTGGCAGAATCAGAATTCAAATAAATTATTTAATTCCAAGATTGACGGGCGAGGAATTTTTGTCTACAAATACCTATAAGCCAATGTCATAAAATAAATGTTGCCACATCAGCCACCGCTGCTCATACCATATATTTCGGAGGGGTTAATTAGTCCATTCCCTCTCAACTATTTTCGCAGACAACTTCCACGTTTCTTTTTTCCCCCAAATTCGTCTAACTAACCTACGAAATTTTAGCTTTTTTCCTTTCTTTATTGCTCTCATTAACCCACTCACCGCTAAAACATAAGTAGCTATTTTGTTTTTGGTGGGAAAGTCGCTATTTTTTCTTCATCAACGAGTTTTGATTTTTTTTTTTTTTTTCGTTGAATCAGGTACCCTCTTCTTATTAAAAGAAAACTAGCAAAGTGCTAGGAGAATCCAGATACAACGAAAGGGCATCACAGCGACACCCCGAGAAATACAAAACGACAACCAACTAGCTACTACAAAAACTCGACAACAACTAACACACAGTTAGGACATCACACAATCCCCAGCCCCTCCAATTCCTCTGAAATGCTTCGTGCCTCACCAATGAGTAATAGATCCTGTTTGATTAGAGCCTGTAGATCTGCAGAAGACATTGAGGTCCCAGCAAACTTCCGTTTACAACGTTCCCTCCAAATGGATGCCATTAGAAAGCACCAAATGAGCCCTGCAGTAGAACCATATTTCCTTCTGCAGAATGAGCAAGCAGCAGCCACAGTAGCCGACCAAGAAGTGCAGCACATGGGTAAAGAACAGAGCCCCTGCACCACCTCCTTGGAATAGCTACACTGGAAGAACAGATGATCACGAGTCTCCTGCCCTTGCCTGCACAATACACAAACAACATCTACATCCTTTCCCCATTTCACCATTTTATCAGAAGTAACAATACCATCAAGCAGGATCAACCATGTAAGGAAACTGTTCCTAGGGATAAACCCATGCCCCCAGACCAGGTTGTGCCAATCTACAACAGGCCACTTAGGCCTAATTCCCTCCCAAACCACACCTAATCTAAATCTGGGCATGGGAGTGTGATCCCAGCAGACCACCCCTCGCTGCAAAGAAAAATGCTGCTGTAGAATTTGCCTTGTCTTCAATATTCTACGCCAAGCCCAAGAACCACTAGCCCCAGACTTCAAAGTCCAGATGCTACCTTGTTTGATCCTGTATGTAGTAACCCAGGCCACCCATATTGTCCCACTCTGCATCAGAAGTAACCAAATCATGCGAGCAGTACATGCTTGATTCCAGGAGCTGAGTTCTTTCAGACCCAGCCCACCTTCCTTTTTCGGCCTTGCCATTCTTTCCCAACCTATTTTAGCCCTGCCTTCTTCAGAACCATGCCATAAAAAGTTGGAACAGACTTTCTGTACTTGTTTCAGGACTTTCTTAGGAAGCAAGAAAACTTGCATCCAATACTGCAAGACCCCCATAAGAACAGAACTGACCAATTGAAGTCTACCCGCATAGCTAAGCCTCTGAGCTCTCCAAGATTTAATCTTCTGAGTAATTTTTGCAACTAATTTCTCACATTCAGCAGTAGACAGCTTCCCAGATATCAAAGGAAGCCCCAAATAACGTACTGGGAGGAGCCCCTCCTGAAAACCAGTGACCTGCAGAGCTCTACTTTTAAATAGCATCGACATTCCTCCAAAGTAGATCTCACATTTTGCCGGGTTGCACTTTAAGCCAGACATGGTATAAAACTCTGAAAGAACTCCCTGTACTTTAGAAATAGCAGTACCAGAACCTTCAGTAAAGATCAAAAGATCATCAGCAAAACTCAGATGAGTTAGCTTCACTTTTTTACATTGGGGATGATATGGGAGATGTCCTAGAGCTGCAGACTCATTCAATAACAAGGAAAGACCCTCCATGGCTATGGTGAATAGGTAGGGTGAAAGAGGATCACCCTGCCTAACACCTTTCTGAGCCCCAAAATACCCACAGAGTCCCCCATTAACACAAATGCTAAACTTAGCTGTTCGTACAGTCAACTTAATCCAGTTTATAAAGCATGTAGGAAACCCCATTATCTCCATCATTAAAAACAAATAGGTCCAATTGACTGAATCGAATGCTTTCATCAAGTCTACTTTGATAGCACAACGTGATGAAAGGTGCATTCTATGATAACCACTAACTAGTTCTTGTGCCATTAAGATATTATCCACTATTCTTCGACCTGCTATAAAAGCTGATTGATTACCACTGATCACCTTAGGTAGCACTGTTTTAAGACGATTGGCCAACACCTTAGCAATAATTTTATACAAAATATTGATACAGGAGATTGGTCGATAGTCTTTGAGAGCACAAGCAGAAGGTACCTTAGGCAATAGAGACACAGCAGTGGCATTGACACTTCCAGGCAAACCTACGATAAAAATTGCTCTATCTTATAGTTGGAAGTAGGAACACACTCCCTAGAACCTCACTCATTTGCATCTATCCTGCTGCACTGCCAACCCGCGGCGTCGATCTCAGCCAAATCGCCGAAAAAAATGGACATGGACTTTGATATATCCTCAAGCAGACGCGCTTGAATGGCTCGAAGCCAACTCTAATTTTCACGAAGAAGACGAGGTTCGACCTACCTTCGAATCTGACGAAGAACCACCGCAATCATCCCTGGTTCCCCGACGAATCCGGCTGATTCGAACTCCGGTCAGAAGCGTCACCGTTCGGCAGTGTTAGATTCGACTACTCACGGAGAGGAAGACTCCGCTGCCGTCAAAATCGACCAGAAGAGAAGTAAAGTCGACGATGACGACGACTGACTCCGGTACTCTCCTCCACGAGACGGAGGTTTCGATGACAGGGATGAGACGGTTGTTGTTCCAATGGAAGGGATAAAGATGACGAGGAGGAGATTATTGTGTCAAAATACATATCTAAGATTGATGGCAACTTTATTCCTGTGACTGCCCCCGGAGGCGACAATAGGGTTTATGCGAAGTTATGTGCAGTAGAAATGGAAGTGGCATCTAAGCAATTGAACTGCAAATCACAATCAGGCGGTAAGATTAGTTCGTATATTCTATACAAACCTGCAGGATCTAGTTTCACAGATTCTTCGCTCTCATTGCACTTATTCATTTCCTCGGCAGGTCTATTAATCGAACCTATCAACGTTCTTTTCGAGAAGGCTGATCAATTGGCCGTCAACAAGGTAGGCAACAATTTGAATTTGGCTCATGCAGTTTCATGATTGAAATTCCGAAGAAACTGCAACGCTGATCTAGTTTATGCTGATCTAGTTTACTGCTGAAGTTCAGGATGATGCTGTTCTGCCTCAAACAGGTGTTGTTCCTGGAAAGATTTGGGTTGATAAGTATGCTCCTAATTCGTTCACGGAGCTACTGAGTGACGAGCAGACAAACCGAGAGGTAAGTGGTTAATATCATGCATAGCTTCCTCTGGTTATGGTCAAGAATACATAATCGCGTCTATCGTTGCAGGTTCTCTTGTGGTTGAAACAATGGGATTCTTGTGTTTTTGGATCTGAAATTAGAAGTACAATGGATGAAGTTCTGTCTGCTCTTAAGCGTCACTCAACTGTTTCTCAACATCAGAAACATTCTGATACCTCTTTCATGAGGAAAGGCAGAGGGCACAAGTAGGCTAATGGGCATGTGCGGCGTTATGATAGAATGGAGCATGAAAATGATAATTCTAATCAAGTGCAGGACTTAACGGCCAAGAAATTGAGGCCAAGCGGTACTCCAGAACAAAAGGTTAGAAGGAGGGCTTACTTAGGCAAGGATATGTGTTAGTTCGTCTTTGTAACTTGAATTCAAATTAAATAGATGTGTTATTTCATTCCCTAATCTCGCTTGTCAGGTAGACCTTTGGTTTGTTTAGCAATATTGTTCCTAAAGAGACTGTGAACATTGCAGATCCTTTTTCTTTGTGTCCCTCCAGGACTTGGAAAGACTACACTTGCACATGTACCGGCTAAACATTGTGGGTACAGAGTTGTCGAGGTTCGTTATCACTTTTAATTCCCACATAGGAATTACCATGTAGTACAATGAATAATTTTCCTTTTTATCATAATACTTGCATTTGTTAATGATGACTACCTCATCTGCATTGCTTGTCCTTCGATTGAGAAATTTTCGCCATATTGTGAACCTGAAACTAGATTTGATGCAAAATTGTTCATGCTGTAAGCTACTTGTCGTTGACTTCTTGATGGATTAGATTTTCCTATGCAGCTAAATTCACCTCTCATCATTCACATAACTTTTGCCATATTTTCCCATGTGCTTATCGTTGGCTTTCTTCTAAACAGATAAATGCCAGTGATGATCGGTCATCCTCTAGTGTTGAAGCTAAAATCCTTGATGTTGTTCAGATGAACTCTGCGACAGCAGACTCAAGGCCCAAGTGTTTGGTTAGTCATAGGTTTCTTAGTTTCTCATTTGTTTCTATGCTCCAGGATGAAGATACAATCGATCATGTTGGTACAGGTGATTGATAAGATAGATGGTGCTCTTGGCGATGGCAGAGGTGCTGTGGATGTCATTCTCAAGATGGTACTTTTTAATTCTTTATTTCAATTGTTATGGCTTGTAGTCTACTTTGCTTCCTTTGCACCTATTTTGTCACGCTGTGCTGGTTTTGCTCTTTCATGTCATAGTCTTCTACATAGGATCCTTTCTTTATCCCTGCTCTGTATTCACAATCAAATGCTAAGTTGATAATCAATTAATCATGTTATCTGATCCCAGAAGTTCCTGGTTATTCTTTTTCATGCAAAGGTTAGCAGATTGAATTTTGTTCATTGTACAAAGAAGGTCTGATGCCCTAAGTTAGAGATCAAAAGGATTTGCTGAAAATCTCATATTGACTTTCTGTTATTAGACCTAATGCAAAGTCTGATTCCTCCAGATGGCAGTGTACTGTGTTCCCATTAACTCGATGAAGATAGATTAATATGCAAGATTGCAGCTGATGCATATTTCTATGTGAAGTGCATCAGTTACAGTATGTTCCTTTTGGGTTTTTGAGGAGCTGCAATTGGCATGCAGGTTGCTTCTTACATTCTGTTTCCATATTTCTCATTTCTGTAGTTTATCAGGCTCCTCTAACCGTATTGTGGCTCAAGTCCAAAGACCAAATATTGAGTGGCCAAAATCTTATCAAAGGTCTATGTCCTGGTTTATCTCTGAATCAGATAAGGTCTAATGTTACACCTTTCAGCTTTTCACTAGTAATCAATTTTGTAAAACTTCAGGCATCGAACAATGTTGACAGAGAAACTAGAACTGTTGAGGGCTTGGAAGAGCAAAATTCCATCATATATACCGCGGCATTATCAACAAAGTCATTTTCTGAAGATTCCATTTCTTCCATGTTGCATATTCTATCACCCTCAACTATAAGATCGGTTAGTGGTTTTCACCAATGTCTGTATTCAGGTTTGCTGTTATAACACAGTTTTCTCTAGTAATAGCTTTGGTATTCCTTTCTTAGGTACCAATGCGCTTATTATCCGAAAAAGAAAAGAATGATATGGACCAGTTAGTTAGCAAGATGGTGTCTTACTCTGTCACGTATAAGAATGCGAGGCCCAATCTTCACTCCACTAAGCCAGTGCAAGAAGCAGCGGCAGATTCATCCACGCTTTCTTTTGATCCTCCCATTACAGAGTTCATCAATTTCAAGGTACAACTTGTGCATTAAACTTTAGCTTAGATGTGTAACCAGTTGCCTCTTAGATATATTTTCTTACTCGTGTTCTTTGCACTTAGCAGGGCTGTGCATATGCTCATAATACACTTCCCCTGGCCTTGAAGCAAGTTTTGGTTCACGAGGTGAGATATATTTCATTATCCATCTTGTATAAGAAAAAAGAAATATCATGTCTATCTGACTATCTCCCATATCTTTGTTGAACAGCTTAATGTCAGACATCTGATATGAATAACAATGAAGAAGATAATATGCACTCAGCCAAATTAAATGACATGTGAAGATCTGGTTGTTGTTCCTCGGGAATTGGACTTGTCAGGATCATTTTATTAAGAAAGAATGGAGGAATAAATATGATTTGTATTGTCCACAGGCCACTACACTTCAAATTTGTCTCTAATCTGTTGAGTATATTAAATTCAGGTTGAGAAGCGAAGGATTTTGCTAGTCAGCAAATCCACACATGACACTGAAGTGTGCAATGAAGCAAACCTCAATTTGAGAGAAAGAGGGAACCATAAAGAACCATCCAGCAGTGTGAAACACATAGGAGCTTTTGCTGCCAATAGAGAAAAGGGGAAGAAAGGAGTAAGCATCCCGAGTTCATTGGCGATATCGTCAAGTGTGGAAGCAAGTGAGAGTTCTGTGTCTAACGCAAAGCTAAATAGTTGTGAGGACACTAAGAAAAGTTCGAGCAGCGCTGCCAACTTCTTTGACAGGTGCTGGAAACTGATGTTGGTACTTTCTGAATAAGCATTTAAAAAAATACCAGTAATGTTGCTTGTTGTCGAAATTAGATTATTACTTCATGGCATGTGAAGAACCAAAACTTAGAATGATTAAATGTCCAAATTTGAAGGTATTCGTAGAGCATGGCCACTTAATTGCTGATATGTGTGTTTTTGCTGTCAAAACAGGTTCAGGAAAGTAGGTAGCAGAGGTTTTCTGAAAGCCGAGACTGTGGACTGCAAGGTCACTACATTGGAAAGAGATTCACGGCCTGTCCTATTTAAGTATAACGAGGTATACCTCTGTGCTCTGGAGATGTCAATTCAGTTAGTCCTTGAATGCACAGACTGCATGCCAAAGCTAGAAAAGGCATATTTGAGGAACAGAAAGTAGTAAAGGCTCAAATTAAATAGGATGAGTCTCGAAATATAGTCCTGATTGTATTCCACCAGCACTAACACTCTTCATTTTCTTCTTGTGAATACAGGGATTCACCAATGCTGTTAAAAGGCCAGTGAAAATGCGGGAGTTTCTGAGTTGATTCAATCATTGTGCTAGTGCTTAGAGGTAATAGTAACTTGGGCGTCCAGTCATGCGTTAGAAAATACTCATATCTTTGAAATGATCCTTTTCCTCATCATATATGGTTAAATTAAGTGTTTGTCTTTCTGTTGATATTATGAGGAAGAAGTATTCTACTCCCTTTCATTACCTGGTTAGGGCCTTGTAACTAGAAGAGTTCAAACTCTCTGTAGCTATTAACATCGAGTAAATTCTCTATGCATTGATTGTACATCTGTTACAGTATGTCCATGAAACAATATATTGACAGCCACCGAAAGAGGTGGAGGAAAGGTCAAAAAGAAAGATCCCTTGTCGTGCTAACACCGCGGCCGGGGAAGAAGAATCTAGGAGTATCGATCTACAATAATTTTTCTTTGTGTACAGTGTTTCTCCATGGACAGCCAATTGGTTATATGGTAATACTTCCAGTGGAGGTGCTATCACTGGGAGGGCTGATTGATAACCAGAGCAAAGACAGTGTCGTGGAAAGGATACCTGACCACACGTACACAATCGTCGGCACCCTTCCTCTCCTTCCAAGCAACCCTTTGATGAAAGGGTACATGTGAGCAATGACCCAGAAGCTGAAGAAGAGTCCTCCAAAGAGCTTCCCCCACTGAGGTATCACGCTGTACAAGGTCCTCGACACGCCGATCACGGCTGCAATGATGTTCACCACGATGATGGTAAGGGGCACTATGAACAGACTGGTCCATTTCACCACGTAGAGATCAGCATAAATGTCCTCCTCGTCCTCCCCCGACGATTTCGAGGTCAGCGTGAAGGAGATCTCTATCCCGGCTATGACTTTGAGAAGGCCCTGAATCACAGCAGCGAGATGGGCGCTGGTCCCGCCGATGACCCAAAACTGCTCGTTCCTCCACAGCTCCTCCAGCTCGATCCCCGACCACTTGACTTCCAGGAGGGAGAGAAGCATTAGTGTGACCGTGATAACAAGGAGGTAGCAGAGGAATGCAACGTTGAGTGACTGGACGATGAAGCTGCCGGTGAAGAGGCACCAGGCAGGGAGGAAGCAGTAGATCACCAAGATCACTGACGTGAAAGGGTAGAATCCGACGTTGAGGTAGGCGATTCTTTGCAGGAATTTGAGCCTCCTGCTCGCCAGCAGTGGGTTGTTTTTGGAGAAGAAGATCTCGATCGACCCGGTCGCCCACCGGAGCACCTGGTGGAGCCTGTCCGTGAGATTGATCGGTGCCGTGCCACGGAAGGCATCGCGCTTTGTGACGCAGTAGACGGACCGCCACCCTCTGTTGTGCATTCTGTAGCCCGTCACCACGTCCTCCGTCACCGATCCGTAGATCCACCCTATCTTATCACCCCACTCCGAGTTGTCCTCGTACCTGTCACCAACCCAAACATTCATTCAAACCTGTCGTCCAAGAAACCACCTGTGAATGTGATTGTGAAAATGGGGAACTCACCAGCAAGCGATGACGGCAACTGCCTCGGCCACCGTTGGGGCGTCGAGAGGCGGGCGAGGGGCCAGCAATGCGCCTGGAGGCCTGCCGTTCTTGATGGAGATGTGATCGGCGAGGGGGCGGCCTTGGTACTCCGCCACGGCTATGGACTCGTTGAACATTTGTGAGTTCCCAAATCCTTTGGGGAGGTTGAGGTCAGGGTGGTCTGAGGTCAGTGGGTGTGATTCTGAATCTTCCAAGTGTGTCGGAGCACTAGGAGCTCTGCTTTTTATTCGACCAAATACTCCGAGGTACTCGTTGGCTCTTGGCGGCAGGAACCCGTACAGTGCGTATCTTCGGAACATGCACCCGGTTCCCACGTATACTGGACCTTGTTGACCATCAAGTGCGCGCATGCTTCCTGTATGTAGAAGAAAAGTAATCAGATATTTTGTTTAGTCCCTAACATTTTTACATTGAGTTAATTAAGTCTATAGTTTGCAATCAATTAGAAAAGCCTATAATTTGCAATCAATCCATCTGAGTAATTTACCATTCAATTCATTTCAATTAAGTCTTAATATGTCATTTGTCTAACTAGATGCTGAACGTTTGAGTAAGTATTTGATTTTCTAGTTGGTTTTCATATTTGTATAAATCCTCATCGATTCAATGTATAATTTTTTCATTAATAATTTCAATCCCCAGTAAAATTGTTATTAATAGAAATATTTAGAAGGAAATAATTAAAAGTAATTATTTACCATCAAAGAAGACTGTGTTGTGATTGGCATATCGATCAGAAGGATCAATGCCTTCAAATCTCTGAGGAAATTGTACGTAACATATTCTGTCACCGCCACGATCCATCATAAAGCACATCCCTTCTCTGATCGCGAGGGAGTTATAGAAATAATGATCACAATCCAAATTCAGAATGAAGGGTCCATTCGATAGTATAGCCGAGGCCCGAACCATGGCATTCATGGCTCCAGCCTTTTTGTTATGGTCATAGCCAGGCCTCTTCTCACGCGAGACATAGACAAACATCGGGATCCTGATGTCAACTCCGGTGAAATCTATCCTATTCTCATCCGGTCCTCCCATCACCGGTTCCGGCTCGGGGACCCTGCTCATCACTTGAACAATCCCAGCATGATCACCTTTGGCATGATCTGGAGCTGACTGCCACCATGTCCCCGGCCAATGAGTCCCGTCAGCCATCCACGTTGCTTTTTGGACCGTCACCCCTTCCTGTGGGAGCGTGCCGCCGTTCTTCTCCCTGGCTATGGCCTTCTCCTTTCTCTCTTCCCTCCTATTCAGTGCATCACATCGCTTACGAATCACCTCAGGGAGGCCGTTGATTCGTACTTTGAACTCATCGTATTCCCTCTTAATCCACCGTCGATCTCTTACGAAATCGTGCAACTTCTTGTTCTTCGTTGGGTCTGTTTTCTGGCTGAAGTAGCTGTCTGGATTTCTTGGTTCTATGTTGTGCTTACGACAAAAGGGAACCCATATCTGCAACAATCAAACAAAATGGTCAAATAAGGTGATTTTTCGAGGAGTGTCTGCTTCCATTGCAATTCAATAATGGGGTTGGGTTAGATTATACCTCAGCAAAGCGAACAGCTTCAGCCATAGCTTCGAAGTTGAAAATGGCACCACCGTCGTCGGAGATGTAGGCGGCGAGCTTCTCGATCGGGTACTCGGCCGCAAGAATGGAGAGCATGGTATTGGCAGTGACCAAGGGCGGTTCCTTATCTGGATCAGCGGTGGAAACGAAGACATCGACTCCGGGTAGGTCGGACCGGCCGGAAGGGTTAGACGGGGATGGCTGTTCAAACTTGTCCTTCAAAGCGGCAAGGTCGGTGGCTCGATTGATGGGGTTGAATTTAGGGAGAATATCGAGAAGCCAAGAGAAGGCGAACCAGAGCTCGCACACAACAGAAACGCCCCACAACCACATGGCTTCCCTGTTGGGATTCTGGAGACGCCATCCCAAGAAGAAGAACAGGACCACCAACCGGATCACGATCAGTAACCGGTATGGGCTGAGAGTGCCCGGGGGGACTTTGACCTTCCTGCTCAAAGGCTTCCAGGGCTTATCCATGAAATCCGACATACTGAGCCCGAGATCGGGTCCATAATGGTCGTCAGTCCAATACGCATTCCCTACGCCATACGTCCCTTTAGTCTCGAAAAGCCACCTGTTGTGGTCAAAATCGCCGGTCTGGGTTCTTAGCAGCATGGATTTATTGTTGTTGGTGGACGTCATGATCGACATTCGCCGATCCATCTTGGCTCCTCCGGGTGCGGGTCGGGTCCCAAAGCGAGAGCCCCCATGTGGGCTTGGGCCGTCAGGTTTGTCGTCGAGTTTGGATCCCGGTTGGTTGTCGGGTGTGGGGGGCATCATGACGGTGTAGTTGGTGTGGCCGCCGGAATGGGATGATTCTCCGGACATGTCTAGGTCGTCGTCACGGGAGAGGTTGGCCGAGGTGCGGCGAGCATTCCTTTGGTTTGACGGCGGACGAGCAGTGGCGGGAGACGGCGACTCTGATGATGATTTATCTTTCGACCTCGAGGATGCCATTTACGTTAAGAGGGAAGATTGTTGATTTGAGTTGTCATTGCGTTTGTGTTTCAATTTCCCCCCTACTTCCTTCTGTACATTTTCCCCCCTTGAATTCGTGTCTTCAAATTTTCTTTTTCGTGTTTATATTTTGATTCCCCTATTTCTTCTTTTGTGTTGATTAAGGTTGTGTTTTGGGGAATGGAAATTTGGGGGGAAAGTTCAGGGGGAAGAAAGGGAAGGAGGAGGAGGAGGAGGAAGAAGAGTGGAAGGGTTTTATTTGAGCGGTGATGAATCGGTTTGCCGGGAATAGAGATTTGAGGGTGTCCAACATTCTGGTTTCCCTTGGATTAAGGATTGCCTCACTTATTATGTGACGATTCTGTGTATTTAGGATTTTACAAGTAGGCAGCCGACGATGGTAAAACAATCAATTAATTAAGAAATGGAATGGAGCAGCTTGTTTTGTTTGGACTTTGATTGGACTGCAAGTCTATAACAAAAAGAGAGAAGTTATCGATTTTTTTTTCTGTTGAATAGAAGTTATCGATTTTAATCCTGAGTTTCTCAATGGTTTTATGATTCTTTTTTCCAAATATGGTATGTTATGTTGGTTAATTATTTTCTTGCTAAAGGATATTAAATATGGATAACGTGATAATAATCTTTGGACTTCACATTAAACTGTGTCCCTCAATATTTGTTAGAATTTAATTAATAATAGAACGATATGCTTTACAGTTGAGAGTTAAGACTCAAAACTCTGTGAAATTTAACTTTTATGAAAAAGGTGACGGGATAAATATTTGTTAGATTTTATACATAGATGTTGAAAGTCTTTGAAAGGGGAGGTTACTAGTGATTCCTAACTTATGCCCACGATTACAATAGTTCAATAACTGTCTTTCTAGGGTTTGCTGATTTTTGCACGTCGCACTTATCATATAAGATATGTGATGTTTTGTCTTGTATAAATGCATGCCATATATTGTGGAGGTTATCATCGATGCATAGGGGATTAGATATATTCGGTTTCTAGCCCTTTATATTGTGGGAATGTGATTTCGAATGAACGATGTCGTGCCTAATAAATAAGTAGTCTTCTCTTTTATTCTTTTTGTGCTATACTTGATTAAACACCTTGTTTATATGTATACTCTTACCCAGAAAAAATTAACTGCCTCGATCGATCTTTATAGATCTCTATAGCAAGGATCTTTCATCGAGAAATATTTCTCTAGCTACTCCTTGGCAAACTCGAGCCTGATAATGCCCCTTCCATTAAGTATTATCTCATCCACATATAAATTCTGGGTCAATGCCATGATTGGTCACTGATATTACTAAAAAATGTCAACTTTGGTCACTAAAAATATTTTATTCCACTCGTGGTCATTGAAATTACTTAAAAATGTCAAGTTTGGTCACTCTCCGTCCAACTGCGTTAACTTTGCTTATGTGACAGTCAACTCTTTAAGTTGACCGTTAAATATATGACGTGGCAATTAAAAATTTAAAAAATAATAAAATTAAATACTTCAAAATTTCCGCCTCATTATTTCCATCATTAAGTGTACACTTGATATGTTGTTCTTTTTGAAGTATAAGTGGAATTAGGGAAAGGATTAGCAAACAAGGTTTTAAGCTCAAGCAATTTGGTCTTGACCAAGCTTATATTGAGCTCTCTAGTGTTTCTGTAATCTGTCATATAAGCTTGGTTGAGAAGATTTAGCTTGTCCTTGAGCTGGTTATAAGCAATCAGTCAAAATTGGGCTAGCGTTTATTTACTTCCAGGTGAAGAAATATGTGCAAGGGATGGTTGTTCGATTTTAAGACTGCTTATTGTTTTCTTGCTTGTGATAGGAAGCTCTGTATCCTCAAAGGTGTATTCCCCAGGGAACCAAAGAATAAGGTTAAAGGTAATAACCAGACTTACTATCATGTGAAGGACATTGCTTTCATACAGCATGATCCCCTACTTGAGAAGTTAAGGGAGCAGAGGGCATACCAGGGAAAAAATACACAAAGCTTTGCCTAATAAGAATGAAGATCTTGCTACCCGACTTCGAACTAGAGAGCCAGCTTATACTCTGGACAGGCTGGTCCGAGAAAGGTTTGCTAAACCTATTCATCCTCTAGGTGCTCTGTAAAGACTCTAAGAAATCCACTGGAGCTTAGTGGTTATTGATAATTGCTATGATCTGAGGAATTGAATCTCTTAGTATATCTCATCATCTTAATGGTGAAGTGTCTTTTATGGTGTAATTAGTCTCTTGATTTGGAGTCTGTATGTTGCTTATTATTCTGTATTTGTGGATAAAAGATGGTCGAACAGTTCTTTGTTGCCTGGCAAGGTATGTATCCCAAGTTTGTTGATGCACTCTGAGACTTCGATGATTGTCTCTCGATGGTGCATTTGTTTGCAGAATCACCTGTTGTAGAGAGGTTGAAAATCAATGTGGATCGGGTCCACAGTTGTAGAAGGTAATACACTGGTATTGTTTCTGTGTGGCTCTTAAGTATGTGCAGTACTTAGCGTTTGGAATTTGCCAAATGGAAGGTTTGATTGGATGTTTTCTCTCTCACGGTCGCGTTTGCATGTTTTATTTATGATACTTATATTTTTGTTCCCCTTTCGCTAGGTTGAGTCATGAATGGCAGGCTTATATTGCTCGTTGTCATAAATTAGCATAAGGTGTTTGTATCAGTAAAAGGAATATATTATCAGGTAGGCAACTGCAATTTTTATTCGAACTTCACTCCTGCAACTGACCAAAAAGAATCTTTTTTGGGTTAAGCATTCAACAACATATTTCCTATAAATGATGTGTTGTACTATTGTCCTTCGTAGGTTGAAGTTGAAGGCCGAAAGATTACCTGGCTAACTCCTCATGCTATGCAACAAGTTTTGCCTGATGATGTCAACTTCACTGTCAAGTTAACTTTTGGGGAATTCTATGAGGTGAGTTCTGATTCATTTTTGTACTCGATTTTTTTTTGTTTTGTTTCATAACCTTCACATGTTTAAGGCATTAATGATGGTATCAGTTGATGCGCAAAAAGGGAAACTATGCTTTGTTTTAGTAGCTCTGCATTATTTATGATTGTAAATTGGGTGCAGACTCTCCTTGGATTCGTCAATTTTAGGCTGTTGACTCACACAAAACACCACACTAGAAATCCCCTCTAGAGCCCAAGTTTTTACACTCTAGAGGGGTGCAACATAGGGCAAGTAAGTTTTAATTATCAACTCGAGCCGATCCATGTACCCCTACTTCAATCGCTTAAGTTGTTATCTAGCAAAATGGTTTTGGGTTTTCAAACTAAGAAAACTACAAACTAAACAAGAAAATAAAAGTAAATAAAGGAAAACTCTAACTAAGGGAGCTTCACCCAGGAGTTGCTTCCCCCCAACTAGCTACCATGACTCGTTAGATTGAATGGAGTTGTGTGGCTGACAGGCTAAAACACAACACCAAACTGCAACCAAGTGTAATCGGTGTCCGGAAATGCAGTAAGTGGCAAGCTCTATTTGTCAACCCGGGGTCTAGATCTACTGCCTACTCCGTGATTATCTATTATCTAGCAAACTATGTCGAGTGATTGTGATTTTAACTAAAAGCAGTAAGAAAGTAGGAAATGTTTCAAAGTTCTTTAGCAAGGGAAGAGTCACTCGGGAATGAGTCCCCCTAGCTCCTTAGTTAGGTCAAGGTTGTAATTACCCTGGGTTGATTAACTGTTGATTAAACTGCGGAAGATCCGACAGTAGCTTGAAATCTCTTAAGCTGACCAAGCCCTCTCAGGCAGGCTAACCGGTAGGTGACAAACCTTCACCGGGATAGACTGCTGAGGCAATAAGCACAGAACTCCACTACTGGAATTGGGTTCCAGTACAAAGCAGTAAATCATTTAACTCTCGTATAGCCAATCTACCACTATCGATTGATGAAGCTCTAACAACCTAATCAGATTCTATCTATCTCAGGTTGCAGCATAAATCAATAAAAGATGATCAGACTTCAATTGACTCAATGAATCATGCATCAATCGATTATAACCAATCAGTATATCAATCCCATGTCATTACAATCAAGATTCCTAACACATGGAACTAGGGTTCTTCATACCCAAGTGAGAGAAGGTTCTACTCCATAGAGAGAGGAAAACAGAAATCAGACTAGTCATACTCATAAAGATGAGGATAATCTGCTCTAGGATGTCGATCTTCACTCCTAGGGATGCAATCTGGGCTTCAATGGTGAGAAATCCACTCCAAATAGCTCCTAGGGTTTGTTCTTCGCACTTTCTCTCTCTAAAGCTCTATTTTTTGCTCAAAAACTCGATTCTCTTTCCTTTGACTCGAATCTGCCTCAAAAACCCGATTTTGGGCGAACTACGGGCTGAATTACGGTCGTAAACATGGTCTGCCCATATTTCACCCAAAACGCGCGTTTGACATAACACCGATGAGAGGAATTACGATCGTAATTACCCAATTACTGCCAGTATTTGTGGAATTACGACCGTAGTTCATTTTGCTCTTGCCCGCATTTTGATCTTCGAAGGCATTCTCAGGGATTTGGCTCGGCATTGCATATACGGTCAGGGCAGAGGCAATTACGCCCGTAATTGGGCAGGGGATGCCTGTATTTCTTCCTCCGCTCCTGTTTAATGCTTCGTTTCTCCCTCGTCCGGACTCCGAATCAATCGCCGTTTGATCCCAGACGCTCGTAGTCTTGTCGTCTTTCTTTTCATGACAAGATTCCATGATTATTTGTCCATAATATGAGGTAGAAATCCATTCTTCCTCAGGTCATGCTCGTGTTTCTTCTCCCGAATTGCCAAATGATCTCCGATTGACTTGAAACTTTCGCCTATGCTTCAATTTACATACTAGGATCTGAAATGTGACAAAGGAACGGAACCTAGCGTAAAATAGTCCAAGAAAGAAAAAATTCAAGCCAAAATGATCAAGAAACGAGGGTGCAAACATTTGCAAATACGACGTTATCAAATTCCCCCACACTTAATCGTTTGCTTGTCCCCAAGCAAACCAAGTCAGATACAAGGAAAGCTCAACACATTTCAATCATGCAACCCTTGGGGACATATCATATAGGCACGAAACACGGGAATCATACTGGCTTTTAGACATCAACACATGAACAACTTCAACAGCAACCTAGACAACCACCACAGAGGACATTCGAGTGCAGCAAAATCGGGTAAAGGAAGATTCTCCTTTCTGTTCACCAACCAACCTAGACTTGACTCAACCACTTATTCAAGACAGTCAGCTCATGCATAAAACTCAAGACATCAGA